GCAAGACTAAACTCAAGCTCTGCTACGCGGGCTTTCGTGATTTTGCATTAATGCATCTCATCTGCGGCGCATTGCGGCGCTCTCGATCTCTATCCGTAAGTAAACAGTGTATGGTGTATGTCTACGTCCGTCGTTGGCCCGAACTGGTTCTTTCCCACAGCCAAACACAAGTGCTGACACATAGCTTTCAGGAGGAGCACAGTGCCAATCCATGCCTGAGGAGCACGTACTCGGAACCCTCGCAGTCCATCCGCATGACCTCGGCGTGAACGTGAGCAACAGCTTCCGAGTAATGAAACGACTCGCTAGGCCTACTAGGCCGCTAGGCGACTCTGAGGCTGCCACAACCTCGTCATCTTCGCGAATATTCTCGCCTGGGGCTTTGCAGAGTCGGGGAGTGCCCAAGATGAGGCGCTGCCCATGAGAGTACCCGACGGAAGACCCGTGCTATGTCCACAGTGGTGGCATTTATTGACCTCGCCGAGTCGCCGAGGGCAATCATGAAAGTCACGGTTCGGATTCTCAGCCAGTCCCGAACCCTCATCCCCCCGCACATCATGTCTCTGAATGGGCAGCTCCTTTTTTTCCTCCTCCGGGCACTCCACGCAGCGCAGCTGTTCGATAAGGGCCTGGGAATGGGAACATTTGCACGGGAAAGGCCTGACTCTCTGCACACTCAACAGACTCAACCATTGAGATTCAGCGAGCCTCAAGCGCGACCTCATATCGCCCAGCGTCGTGGTCGTTCATTAACCCGTCCGCAAGCAATGCCTCCCGGCCAAAGTCTTCGGAAGGCACCGCAGGCAGCACACCTTATGGGCGCAAAGAGGGGTTGGAAACGAACGTGCTTGGACGAAAACCAGATTGTTTTGAAGTCCAACCAGCGGCCGGTTGGGCGGTTGGCCTGGTTTGCAAGGGCATCCAGTTCAGCCTCGAGCTTGAATCTGGCATTTTGCACGCCAGAAGCACTTGGGAAGGGGTCCATGTGGGAACCTGTTTGTTTCAAGGTTTCCAGGTGTCACCCAAGAAAAACGAATACTGAATGTCAATATCGGGGATTGAACTTCAAGGCACTTATGGAGTAGCATTACATGACTCTCAATTCATGCGGTCATCTCCTGTGCGCGAGTGCAAGAGTACCTACTGTAGTAGTCTACACCGATTGCCAAGTCAGCACCTTGCAGATCGAGTCTTGGGTCCTTTGCCTGCAGCCATTCAGGCGGAGTCTTCAGGCGATGCCCTATCCAGACTTCCTGCACTGCCGGTGTCGGACACGAATCCCACATGCACACCTTAAACCCAAAGCCTAAGCCCCTAAGCATTTTTGACCCCGCCCCTACAGGCACTATAGAATTACACCCCAAATTAAATCCACTTCATTTCTCCTCTACAAACCCTGGGACCGGCCAGGCCACGGATGCAGCGCTGCCGCGCGGCGCGGACGGCGGCCGCCAGGTCCACGAGCCAAGCATCGCGCTCGGCAGCCTGGGTCCCAAGTCTTCGGTCTGAACCACAGGAAGAAAAAAGGCCCAAACTCCTCATGACACTAGACTAACCCCTTAGAAAAGGGGCCCCCTTGCGCTCTCAGCTCTAAGCTCACGAACGTAAACTACTGTATAGACACAAGTTTGCTGAATGCGTTTGCTGCTCTATCCACACCTTCGGTGTGGGTTCATACATGCGTTTCCGCGTATCATGCAGGCCTAGGGCTTGAGCTTTAGTGTTCAGGGCCATGTCACGTCCGGAAAAGAAGCGATTCCGAAGAACACGAACAGTCACTTCGCGAAAGATTAGAAAAACGGCGCAACCGCCCCAAGCACACGCTGAAAGGGTCCTGGTTAAAGGCGCCTTCTGCGCCCAAAGATGTGGGGGCCCGTAGCAGCGCTATACTGTCGGCTAAACATTTCATTCAATCCGGGAATCTGAGACACACCCAATAAGAACAGGATCTTCCTTAGAAGGACCCCCTGAATAATCTCCCTCGACTTGCTTAGAAACCTGCTTATCTGCAGCCGATGCTCGAGCGGTTTACGGACTTAGTAGGATTTGTGATTTGAAATTCGCGGGTTTAGGGGCTTAGGCTTTGTGGTTCGGGGGTCTAAGGGTTTAGGGTTTCAGGTTTAGGGCTTGAGGGGGTAAGGGAGTTTCGAGTTTCGGGTTTCAGCGTTTGGGGTTTGTTGTCAAGTGCTCTCTTCGAGCAAACACCCCCAATTGCTAATTGAATATTTGGGGCAATCGTCGGTGTAGGCAGCAATGAAAGCGACTATTCTACATTCAAATAGACTTTCGCGCCCCCAGAACTCTTCGGCCTCCCAGAATCTGACTGTTTGCAGGAAGCGACACAATTGGCAAAGGATTTTTGTTGTGGTGTAGAACTAACTAGAGGTAACTGTGTCATCAGATGCGGCAGAGATGCGCTTTCTGTACAAAGGAAGACCTCGGCGGCCAGACAACTCCGGACAGCAGGCAAAGCCTGCTCTCCGGTACTTGGCAGCTCGATGCCTGCGCGTCAGATCTCTTTGTCAAAACAAGGCTTGTTCTCTTGGAACTCCAAATTAGGCCAAGCAAGGTGGCCTGACCAGGTGCTTGCAGTCTGCACACGGAATGCCCACGGCGTTGCGAAATCGCGAGCAGCTGGCATCGTCGACTCCGTGTTAGTTCCTGCTGGCTGCGCGTCACAGGTGCAAAAGCAGGGCTCAGAAGTTCAAACGTTGTCCTGAATTGGGCTCGCTGGCACGGAAGGACATCGTCGGCCCCATGCCAACGGGGAACGGCTGACTACTTGGCTGTCCTGAGTCTGCATACTCTGAGAGACGACGACTCAGAACGCGGAGCTTCATGCTGTTCGGCCTAGCTGTGCACATGTGGGCCGACAATCACACTCGCCAGTACACGTCCACCTCAACACTGCGAGAAAGTCTCGAAAACGACGACGGCGCTAGGGGAGGCATGACGGGTCATGAAATCAGCCCAGCCAAGGTTCCGAGCAGCATGATCAACGTGCTGTCGGCCGTCAGGGCTACGCTTGAACGCAGTGGATCCTGCAGGGTCCAGAGTGCGGCTTCCAGATGGGCGTCGTTAGAACATGAGGCTTAGCTGAGGTCATGGATGCGTACGGGGTCCTTTGGAGACACTGCAAAGCACAACTCGCCGGCCTCAGCACACGAAGGCTGATCCAGAAACCGACATCTTCGATCTGCGCAAAGGCCTCAATCCATGCAAAGCGCCGCCGCCACTGCCGCAGATGATCCGAGCGCTTCAGCACCCAGCGCCCGTGGGCTCTGTGATCTGGGTTCAGGGGGCGATGGTGTAAAAACGCCTGGGGATCCCGGACTCCTTGCCTACTGCATCTTCTCCGTCTCTGCATTCAGCAGGATTCAACCTCACTGTGGTGCACAGCTTCCCTAGGCATAATAATGCAGAAGCCAAGCATGCACCTGTGCTCTTTTCTGGGGCCGACGACTGTCCGGAAGAAGAAAAGCTAGCAGTCCCACCTGCCAGGCTCCCAGCAGTCTCAGCTTGAAGGACTCTGCCAGTACACCCTTGGGAGGTTCTCGCCTGGTACCAGCAAGACGTGGCACAGCCGGGAGGTGACGGCGTGCTGGACCGGGAACGGGTTGCCTGTTGCAGGCCTTGTCGATGCTCCCTTGCACAGGGCATCTTCGAGCTCGCGAGCCACAGCCACCTGACATGTTGCCTATCGGCTCATCGGTTGTGAGACATGCGAAGCGGTGACTTTGACAAGGATGATCTATCGCGCCTGCGTTTCTGCATCCCCTTGGCCCAACTTGCGAAGGACATCCCTCTTGCCCCAGTCAACGAAGTCGTCGATGGCCCTCGCTTCCTGGAAAAGCTTGTAGCCGTTGTGCAATGATGTCCTGGGAATGATGTCGTAGTTCATGGCGAAGGCCTGAGCTGCAAGTGCCTATTTTGGCGGCTCGCGGCGGGTCCCTTCTCAGAGCGCTGCGAGAGAGGAATCCCTGGCCCTCTGCACCGCAGAAGGAACCGCGGGACGGAATCCGAAACTCCAGAGCCGGGAGAAGCTGCTGGCCCGCTGCACCGGCCTCGGAAGAACGCTGACCGTTCCCTCGCCTCCTCGCGACTTCCGTCCACGTCAAGCAGAGCGGCTCGCTCCCGAAGACGGGAGGAGGGGCAAAGAGGAAGACCTTCAGCTCGGTGCCCTTTGGCAGCGTCCAGGCTGCATCCTCACCACCAAGCATCAGGATCGCCAAGAGCTCGCAAACCTCACGGCACTGTGTGACTGCACACAGAGCCAAGGCCAGGGTGCTTAGTCGACCGGACAGTCACTAAAAGCACTAAAACTCCAAGCCGCTCCGGCACCGAGGGAGTGGCCACAGAGGACCAGGCGCTTCTTCGACTTCGATGGGCTGCTTCCGTGGCTGCTTCTGCCCAGTTCCTCCAGGCGGCTAAGGCCTCCAAGAGGGCACAAAAAAAGAGAACCCCCAATCCACTCCAGAGTTCAGAAAGTGTGGGAGCTGAAAAAAAGAGGGCCTGGCCTTCCTGGAGCTGTGGATGCAAGCGGTCCAGGAGTCTGCGAGCGGTCTGCAGGATGCCCGAGTGGGCTTTGCCGCCTGAAGAAGCGCAAAGCCCCCGTCTTCTGAGTGCCCGGCGTCGCACCAGCCAACAAAAAGAAGAGAGAAAGGCCTACGATGTGCATCAGAGTAGAATAGCAGAACTGAAGAGCAGTAGAATCCTTAAGGCTTCACCTCTAACTATGTGCTTGCATTCTCGGGTTCAGTCTTTCTGTCCTTGTGCATGTTGCTTTTGTTGCTTGTGTTGCTCCGGGTTGTTGCATGCCACTGCCGTTCTTGGTCTTCTGTGTCCGTGCAAGCAGCTCTGGCTCCGGGACCGGACCTGCAAAGTCCTCTGCGTCGCCCACCAGATCGGCGAAAAGATCCGACAGTGACTGCGTGCCTCTTACAGAGACAATCAGCTCTCGGCGTTGGATATCCTCCGCGAGCAGGAATCGCGGGCACAGCGGGTCACTGGCCTGTGCTGCATCATCCATGTCTGACACGAGAATGGCATCAGGTTCACACTCGGCTACAGCAGCAGCCATGGCCACGCGTTCCTCTTCGTCCGGCTGGCTCCGAGCGCTCGAGCTCGGAGGCTCTGCCATCTTGCTCGTACCCTCAGAGTCGATCTTCTCGGTCCCATCACGGAGCCCCCGTCCGCCATATACCGCAAGAGCCCAGCGACAGTAACGCAGAGCCTCTAAAGCTTCGGAGTAGGAGAGAGAGCAGACAGAGCCATGTGACAAGCCATCCACGATGCGCAGGGCACCGAGATGGCGGTGGTAGACTCGAAGAAGGGCCAGGTTGAGAGCTACGTGCCGCCGCCACGGCGGGGAGCCATCGAGGCATCCATCAACAGCGACTTGCCAAAAGTGAGCATTGCAGGCCACGACCCTTTCGAAGACATCCTGTTGCTCTCTGGTCAGCGCAATATCCTTCAGGGCCTGGTGTAGAAGCTCCGCAGTACCGAAAGGATCCAGCCGCACAGGTGCGGCACCTGTCACTGATCGTCGAAACAAGCGCCAAGTGGCCCGAATTGGCCCTGCGGATCGCGAACCTCCCGCCAGACGTTGCAGTGTCCCGAGGATCCACTGCCTCAAGCCTGCTTCTGCAGCTTCTGTGCGTCTGGTTTGCGCACCAGCTCTGGATGGCTGCAAATCTGACATTGCCGCTTCCCATGGACGGTTTGTTTTTGTTTTAAGGTTGTGTTCGAGTCTTGGGCAAACGTTAGGTCCGTTAGGTAACCTTGCTCCCTGTCAGGGCATCATGGCAACCGCCCTCGTCCGTTTGCCCTCTCCTGCCAACTTGAGTACAGTGCAGCTGACACGCACGCACCAATTAGCAACAAGAACTGTAAACCCAGCGAAGAAAAGTAGACATGCACTGTGCATGCCAGACCCGTTGTGCCTCCAGTGGGCTCATGACAATGCGGCTCTGGCAGCTACAAACATGCTCAGTCGGATGCGTGTCATGCAAGCCGCGGGTACGGAAGATGCTGTCCAAACCGGTCCCGTACAGTGGGTTGGAGGCCACGTTGAGCCTGACACGAATTGCTCAATGCAACCTCTGAAAAGTTAGCTGAATGTCTCTGCTACCTTTTCTTCAGTCCGTCTGCCGTCCAGGCCTGACCATGCGTGACGCTGACTCTCTCGGACAGTCAGGTACTGTCAGGTACTTCAGCTGCGCTTTCGCAGTGACTGGCAATGCTGGCAAGCTGCGACATTTGGATAAAAGACACCATTCATCTCCTGCCAACCGGCTCGGCAGACAATGTACACCCAGAAAGAGTGCTACTCACGGACCTCTGCCATTTGCTGGAGAGGTTGTGCCCAAACAGGGTGAGGCTGAACCATCCTGAACGCAGGATTCGAGCGGCGAAGGAGAAAACTTGCAAATCATCAAAAACCCCAAGGCGAAACTCAGACACGTACACAGGCACGTACCGAATGCCAAACTGTTCCCATTGCGCACGTAACCATGGCCTGGCAGCTTAGGTCTTCCTCGCCCACTGTCAGCGTGTACAATTGGAAGTATCCGTAGAATCGGCGTGCAAGGTGTGGTGCGCAAATTATCACAAAAGGGCGCGGCTGGTCGGTCGTAGTTGCCCCGACCTGGCAAGATCAGATGCCCTGGCTCAGAAGAAAGTGCAACCCCTTCGGAGAACGAACGAGGCAGCCAAGTTGCCACAACGAAGATGTGACCTTGCAGACGATAGCATCATGTATGGCAAGGATAGATCGCACCAATGCAAACCGAGGTGCGGCTTTCGAGGCGTTGTTGAATCTCGGCTTGAGCATTGGCCTCAGCAAAGATCTCGTCATGCTGACATGTAGCAAGGTAACAGCATAACCACTCAAAATTTGCCCAACCCCGTTCTCGGTTTCCGCGGTTGCCTGCCCATGCTGAACAGCCCACGAGCTCCTCCAAAGAGCTTCAAGCTCCCCCCGTCTGGATATCAAATCAAGTGCATCCGACCACCGTTTCAACCTTTACCAGGCCCATGCTCCTGCGAAAATTATGTCTGCTGCTTCTTCTGGGGTCAGTACCAACGCCAAGACGTGGACGGAAGCCAGGCGGAACATTCGCCAAGACCAGCGCATCTGAATCTTCTCCTCTGCTTGCACCAAAACCATGCAGCAATACAATGCATGCTGCATGATCGCACTGCACTAGGGTTGGTAACGACTGCACAAGGACAACTGCAGCTTGGACACGGCCACAACCTCATCAGCTCGAAAGTAGTATGGCGAAGAGCTGTCGCGCAATGCCGTCCGTTAATGTCAACGGCGTACTCTAATGACACTACTACCATCAGTATGCATGCAATTCTACTTCTGCTGTGGCTGCTCCTATTGCGTAGCACTACCGTGATTGCAGTTCCTGTGCTGTCTTTTGCGCTGCTCATTATCCTGCTCGCCTGCACTTTGGCTCCTGCGTGCACATTTTGAGCCGGGCTTGAAATCTGAGGTTGTGGAAGCATGAGCAACACCACGCACAAGAACAAAGGACGTATATGTGCGACCCACCGAAAACTGGGGCCGGTATTATGTTATTATGATATTTTCTGTTTTTTAAATATTCATCTTGTGGTAACCGCGGATATCTTGTATCCAGATATCTTTCCCACGAGTAGCCATCATCATAGTGAATCATACAAAGACTCGTCTTAACCCAAGATGAGGTTTGTTTTGAGTACAGCTTGTGTTCAACTTGATTCTGCTCTTCAATGCTGGCGATATAAGCACGGATGCTTTTCATTATATCGCTTACTGGATTCATATGTGAAACCATATAGTCTTTGAAACTTTTATTTTACATCAACGTCTTTCTTACATGTTTTGTCGTATTATGCAACTATCTAAGCTTGGTGTAAAAGGAATCTATATCATCCTTTCCACGCCGTAAGCTGTAATAACATCTCTTGTTTTCTTTTTGACGTTTTCATTGCAGAATTTTGGATCTTTACTCAATACCTTTGGTTCAAGTTTTTTGGGTGCTGGAAACGGGCTTAGGTTCACATAATAATACATGTGTGTGTTTCTTTTCTCCTGCTCACCCCCTCTGTATTCCTCGATACAAGGTCTATCTTCAACTGCTTCAGCTGCATTATCAGTCAAATTTTTCATGCCACAGCCATAAACATTACTTTTCAATTCTCTTGGAGTGCTACATGACTCGGATTCGTTGTAATTTTATGTATTGTTTTAAAATATCTTCTGACAGTGGCAAGTGATATAGGTTCATATTTTGCGGTGTAAAGTTGCATTCGGTGCACATACTTAGTTTGTTGTTGATTATCTTCTTTCATCTCCATAACATATAAGAATTGTTTCATGATTTCGTTCTATTCAATCTGACTGAACTTCTTTAACTGTATTTGTTTAAGTTGTTATTTCTTTAAGTGTGTTTCTTAATAAACCTTTATTCATTCAAACCTTAAATCAGCTCTTTCCTTCCATACCATCAACAAAATGATATGCTTGTCCTAGGTCCTAGGTTCTCGTCTGTTCTCTCAGTGGTGAAAGTATTCTTTGAGAAATTTCCTATGCATTCCTTTTCATTTGGCTTTTTTTTCCTAAATATGTTGACTTCATCTCCCTTTTCCAACTCTGGGTACGTCCTAGTTTTCTTAGCGTTACTGGCTAGATCCAGCTTGACGTTCAACTCGTTTGATGGTTTCTGTGCTTCCTTCGGTATCGTTTCTGTTGCAGAATGCTTCATTACATTATTGTATGTTCACAAAATCTCGTGTATACAATCTATCCCCTGGATATTCTGTCTGACCTTTGTCTCATGTGCTTAAATCCTCCTATGCAACAAATCTTTAAAAGCACGAATTGCGCATTCACTAAAATTTGGGTGTGCTCTTGTTATGTGATGTTCAA